TGATTGTCAATGTTTGACCACCGATAGCCTGCCATGGGGGTCCCCGGGGCAGTATGTTCGGGCTTCAGCGTATGCGGAACTCGACGGTGAATGCAAGAGACAATCGATTTATCCTAGTTCGGACCCTCGATCGTGGATCGAGTAATAGCCCTACGTCCAGTCGGTGTTAGCCTTGCGTTGGATTGATTGTGTGTTGTTGTCAAAAAGTCCTTCTTTCCGCTAGGAACCCTGCCCTCCTTTATACAGTCAGGAGGTCAGAGTCCTAGTCGATTTACAATGAGAGTTCCTAGTAGGATTTACAGAATAATACTATTACTAGGATTACATGAAAGGAAACCTAGTTAGACTAGATCTTCTTCTTCCTTGCGGGGTATCCCATGGGTCCCGTGATCGATAAGCCCCAGAGCACTTCATGGTTGAGCTCTAGAAGCCTCGCCTTGTTCCTTCGAGTCTTGCCGAAAGCGGTACAAGCGTCCGTCCGAAAAAGCTTTTTCCTCGAGCGAAACTGTAGCTTTTTCTGGGATCTTTGAGTGGTGTGTGCCTTTTGAAGAAAAAAGCGCCTCCGGTTGGTGTAGCCCCGAGCCTCTTGCTATTTGGAATAAGTAGCTGGAGGGTCATGTCTTGGAGTTACTCTGATCCTTCGCCGAAGAGTAGCCGAGTATACCCGGGTTCTTTATAATAAAGAACTCGGATATATCGTGAGGTCTTGGAGTAGTGTGTCTTGAATAAGTCTTCTTGGTGATGTGCGCTTTTTTGAAGAAAAAAGTACACTCACTGAGTATAGCCCCCGAGCCTCTTGCTATTTGGAACAAAAAGTTAGAGGGTCTTGAAACCTATGTCGTTTTACAACTCTTGCCTTGGAGAAGTCTTTTGAGTGATGTGCGCTTTTTTGAAGAAAAAGTGCACTCACTGAGTGTAGCCCCCGAGCCTCTTGCTATTTGGAACAAAGAGTTGGAGGGTCTTGAATTTGAGTTGTTCAAAGAACTGTAAACTTCCCCTGTTGCAGCCCCCGAGCATTCTTCAAAAAGAACTCGGATACAGAATCTTGGCATATTCTCTGGTAGTCTGCTGTTGTCAGATGTAGAGTCTGCTGCTTTCAGATGTAAAGTCTGCTGTTGTCAGGTGTAGTTGTATGGTGGTGGTTGAGTGCAAATGCCTTTTGTTCACGGGTTATACAGTGTTGGTATATTCTCCCGAATATGCTTGTTGTTGAGTACTGTTCCTTCACGCCTGAGTTCCCTTTCATTGAATTCTGTCTTTTCACTGTGTCCTTTGTTAGTTTTGCTCTGTTGATGCTCCCGGTCCATGTGCACCGTTTCTTTGGTCTATAAATACCCTCCTGGTGTGCTGTTTTGATTCATCGAGCATTTTGTTGCGTGGTCTTGAAATCTCTGTAGGCATGAATATGATAGTTTGTGAAGTAGAGCAGCCCCCGGGCGTATTCTGTAGTTCTTGTACATCTTGTCATAGCTGGAGGAAGTCTTGTGATAGGGATTAGAGGTAGACTAATCCCGCAGCGGTATTGTACTTGGAAGTACGTGACGGTAGTTGGAAGAAGTCTTGTGATGTGGGATGCGTTCCTTCATCCAGCAGTTCTGGGTTAATCTTTGCCGCCTGTCTTGAGACTGTCCTGTGCAGATCAACACCATATCCGGTATCACATCAAACTTGGGTAGACAGATGCCTGCCGGCTTCCCCTGGTCTATGTTGTCCCGTCGTGCTGCTCATTTCCACCTTGGATGCACTGTGTCCGTCCTTTGAAGAAAACAGTGTCGCCGAGTGCGGTTTGTTCTACCGAGTAGCAATTTGGAACACGTAGTCGTTCCAGAGCCTAGCTGTGTCCAGGTTCCTCTTTGCTACCTTGCTTGTCGTAGTACCGAGTTCGTTGGGTCTTATAAGATGTGTAATCTTGTATCTTTTGAAGTCATTTCTAATGGAAAGAATCTTGTCTTCTGAGTTGTCATTCTTTATTCTGCTGATGTCCCTTTATGAAATTCCCGAGTTCTTTCTGCATTGTTCGGGTTGTTATGTCCCTTGTGAGGTAACCTTTTGTTGCTTCATGGCTGATGAGTTCTTTTTTAGCAATGTGACAACTTTGCCGTTTTGCTGGATGGGTAAGTCCGAAATCTGCCCGTTGAACTGTACCGTTGTGTGGATTTGTGCCTTCCGTCATTTTAGCTGTGTCAGTAAATGGACCGTTGCATTCTCACACCGTGTTTTAACGGGCCTGGTCGGCTGTGCTTTACTGCTGTAAAATCTATTTAAAGGCCTTTCGTCTTCTTCTTCTTTACTGCTCCGCTTTTGCCTTGAAACCCTAGTTTTCAGAAATCCGCCGCCGCCATTGTCGCCGTCATCTGAGCGCCGCTGTCTTAGCCTCGTCTTTTCTTAGTGCCTTTTTGCTTCCGCTAGTACATGGGTAGGAAGAAAGCCGCGAGCAAGTCCTAGGCAGCCTTCATAGACGAGGAGTCATCACTTTCTGTGATCGAGAACCAAGAGTTCGTGGCCATGAGGGCTGCCCAGAAGGCTTGGCCGGCCCTGACAACGACTGAAGACCAGATTTCGTGCATGTCGTCACGTACGATGCTTACAAACCAGGACATCTCTACATGTGCTATCCGATATCACATGTAGAGATGTCCTGGTTTGAAAGCATCGTACGTGACAACATGCACGAAATCTTCTGAATTTTTTATAATAGCCTCCACATATGATATCACGACATCTCAATAAGTTTCATGATTTTCGGACTTCGTTTGCTTTTTATAGAATTTAAAAACACTTCACACGCAATTTTGCGGGCATGTTTCGTGAACAAGATGTCCGAAATTTTGGGTTTGTTCCTGGATACGGCCTCTCACAACATTCACTAACATGACTATCAATTTTTGAATCATTAAACTCCATTATTCGTACCACGTGCAGTTCAAATTTCTAATTTTCGGAAAAATTCAAGTAAACGAAATAAAGTAACTAAATATAACATAAAGCCACAAAAAATCCCCAAATTGTAACTAGGAGTTCCTGATGCTTTAAAAGGGCTGCACAAAAAAATTGGAGGCCAAAAACAAAAAAATAAAAAAAAACTTTGCCGAGTGTTGGGGCATGGCACTCGGCAAAGGGTGTCTTTGCCGAGTGCCAGCCATCAGGCACTCGGCAAAGAATGTTTTAATTTTTTTTTTAAATTTCCTCTTTGCCGAGTGCATCCACAGGAGCACTCGGCAAATAAATAATAAAAAAAATTAAATCTTTGTCGAGTGCCGTCCCAGGGACACTCGGCAAATAAATAATAATAAAAAATTAAATCTTTGCCGAGTGCCGTCCCAGGGGCACTCGGCAAAGTATTTTAAAAATAAAAAAAAATTCTTTGCCGAGCACCAGATCTGAGACACTTGGCAAAGAATTTTTTTTTAAAAAAATTTAAATCTTTGCTGAGTGCCAGATCTGGGGCACTCGGCAAAGAAATTAAAAAAAAACAAATCTTTGCCGAGTGCCTAACTGCAGGCGCTCGGCAAAGGAGGCCGTGACCGGACGCCGTTTTCACGGGCAGCCTATGCCGAGTGTAGAGATTTTGCCGAGAGTCTGGCGCTCGGCAAAGAAGTCCTTTGCCGAGTGCCCGTCTTTGCCGAGTGCAATTCGAGTGTAGCACTCGGCAAAGAAGGTCTTTGCCGAGTGTCCGATTTTTGACACTCGGCAAAGAATTTTGCACTCAGCAAAGTCTCTGTTTCCAGTAGTACTGTCTCAACATACTAAACCACACATCGTCACTTAGAAGCCGACAATTATGCAACCACGAATAAAATGTACACAAACATCATGAGTTGAATATTTTCTGCTTCTAACCCCAGCAATGCAAACAATTAACCTATCATTATCTATCCATTTTTTTCACTTTTCATGCATATATATCTACCCCTTACCAAGTTGTTTGTGTATCCATCCATGACTTGACAATATTGCTCACCATTTTACTTTTAGCACCGCTCGAGAGATTTCACCTAGTGTTGCCGCGGCGGTTTGGTGCGGGCTTGCAACTAGACAAATGGCGTGCATCACGTTGCCTTGCCTTGCAACCGATGGAGCACCACACCGATGCAAGCAAAGCCGCGGCGGCCATTATCACGTAGCCGCGCCCTTTGGTTTGCGAGGATAGGGATATCGTCACTATCCTTTGGCCGAGTCCGTTGCAGTTGTAGCTAGCCCAATGCAACGCGCGCGCGGCGCGCTGGACGCCCTCTTGCGGCAGGCTGAACCGGGGGCGGGCGGCGAACACAGCCCGCCGAGGTGCCGAACACCCCGCGCGCGCATGCAATCTCACCCACCCCGGCACCCCCCGCTCCAGCGCGCGCATAACGAGGCACGATGCAAGGAAAAGGCAAGCTCGCCGCAACGCTCGAGTCAAGCACAGTAAGCTATCGATATGGCATATTTGGCATGGAGCTAATGCGCAGGGCGGCCAGTCGAAACACGGGGACGGAGCGTGCGGCGTGCCGCCGGCTGTGGCTTGAGCCCTTATAGGAGTGTCTTTAAAACGCAGTCGAACCCTGGCGGCACATTCACATCGCCTGCACATCCATCCATCCGGCAGGGGGCGATCGACGATCGAGTTCAGATAGAGCGAGGATGCAAGGCGGCGGAAGCATCGTCCAGCTCTCGAGGAAGGCGGCGGCCTTGGCGAGGACCGGGCGAGCGGCGCGGCTGGCGGCCATGCGTCCGGTGTGGAAGCGGAACTACCGCGGCGTCTAGCAGCGAAAAAACAGGTACTACTCCGTGATCCGGAACATCCACACCCGGCGCCTGGTGTGGCTGGTGTCGTACAAGGCCCCCGACGAGGCCGCGTACGCGTGGGACGCCGCCGCGAGGGTGACGCACGGGCACTGGGCCAAGCCCAAGTTCCCCGAGCCGACCTGGGCGCGTGCGGCGCCGGCGCGGGAGGAGGTGTCCACGGAGCTCGTGCTCGCGCTGCCGATGCCCGCCGCTTGCGAGCCCGCGGTGCCGGCGCGATGCCGCGAGCCTGCTGCGGCGGTGGCGGCAGTCAGGCGTCCTTCGACAACTGGCTGCTGTCTGCGTCGGCGGCCGCAGCAGAGCCACAGCATCAGCAGGGAGCACCGGCGGTTGTGCTCCCGCACCAGCAACAACGCACAGGGCTACTGCCACCGTTCACACAGTTTTTCCACCTTTCAGGTCCCGCCACTGCTGCAGCCGCCGCCAATGGCAGCGCCGCTGTCGTCAACCCTTCCAACCCGGGTGCCTATGTTTTGACACAGCAGAACGTGCAGATGTCGCCCACCAATCCGGCGAGCACCGAGCCCGTCTCCCAGGCCTCGCAGTTCTTCCCCTCCGCTGCCGCCCTTACCCAGCACCGCAAGCTGCCGGTGTCGCAGGCCGGCGTGTCTGATCAGGCCGTCGTCGGGGATAACTTCACCAACAACGGTGCGTCCTCCTCGTCTGCTGCACCTCCTCCAGTGCCTCGGCTCACGCTTGATCTGCTGCTCGATCTGCCTGGTCGCGGCGGCCCCGGTGGGGCGCAGTAAGGAGGCTGAAGCTGCGTCAGGTGCCGAGGGCTGCCGGCAATCGACTGCGATTATCTCATGCGGTTCCTTCGAGTACTCGACATGTGATCTTACCATATTCTATCCGTGATGATTATGTATGTTTTTCTATTCCAGAATTCAAAAACAATGTGTATGTATTATCGATTTAACTGGACTTGTGATGCCTCCTGACCGTGTGCTTGGGTCAGTATGTATTGTTCTGTAGTAGTTTGTAACTTGTTTCAGTTTCCCTGTGCTGTGAGCAAAGAACAAAAAAATGTTGGCTGAAGTAAGGGTCTGTTTGATAATTGATATAGCTTCATCCGGTTCTAGCTCCTTTCTACAGTTTGTGGAGTCAGAGCTCCACTGAACAGGGCCTAAGTAGTCTTGAATCCAGATCTCAAGTTTCGTCACCATGCATGTGCTGTTTTGTTTACAGTTAATCATATTGCTATTTAATTAGTGATATCATTATGTTTATGTTGGTTATTTATTTTGGGAAGTTGGGAGATTTTTCCTTCAACAAGAGACAAGATCTAAAACATTTTCATAGTCGTTTTGGAACTACAACTGCAAGGATAAGGTCGATTCTATAATCAATGACTATTCTTGTATTGCAAAATCCAACGAATTGAAACTATGTGTGCATCACAGTAAGCTTGATACAAAGACTAATTACTAATCAAGGTATTATAATTGGCTTTCAAAACAAAGAGGATGTAACTGTGTACCCCCTCTATTTAGGAAAACCTAAAAAGGTATAACGGTCGATTTGGTACCTAAACCCCGACTACGGTATATCCATACTGTCTAATTGTGACGTTATGTTATTCTATAATACCGACCTTTCCATTTTGCTCCTTACTGTGTCAAATTATATAACCAACTGACCTAATTAGGTCCTATAGTCCGTTTTAATTCGATATCAAACAAGCTTACTTATACAAGGAGTGAAACTGATCACAGCCTTAGTTAGATTAGGCCTTGTCTAGCATTAACATGCCAGCCATCGCCATCACGTCCCCTTCTTCCTCCCCTTCACGACTACTTTAGGTCTCTGATGGGGCTTTGGAGTTGAGGCCGTGTTTGAGAGGGAGGCAACAATAACAATCAACCTGGTTTTGTGAAGGAGTTAACATGCCACAATGGAGGTATTATGGTTGGCTAGTGGTGGTAGGACTTGGGGAAGAAGGTGATTTTTAAGGTGATTGTCAATGTTTGACCACCGATAGCCTGCCATGGGGGTCCCCGGGGCAGTATGTTCGGGCTTCAGCGTATGCGGAACTCGACGGTGAATGCAAGAGACAATCGATTTATCCTAGTTCGGACCCTCGATCGTGGATCGAGTAATAGCCCTACGTCCAGTCGGTGTTAGCCTTGCGTTGGATTGATTGTGTGTTGTTGTCAAAAAGTCCTTCTTTCCGCTAGGAACCCTGCCCTCCTTTATACAGTCAGGAGGTCAGAGTCCTAGTCGATTTACAATGAGAGTTCCTAGTAGGATTTACAGAATAATACTATTACTAGGATTACATGAAAGGAAACCTAGTTAGACTAGATCTTCTCTCTTCCTTGCGGGGTATCCCATGGGTCCCGCATCGATAAGCCCCCGAGCACTTCATGGTTGAGCTCTAGAAGCCTCGCCTTGTTCCTTCAGGTCTTGCCGAGCAGGTACAAGCGTCGTCCGAGTGCTTTTCTGAGCGAAACCGTGTAGCGCTTTCTGGGATCTTTGAGTGGTGTGTGCCTTTTTGAAGAAAAAAGCGCCTCCAGCTGGGTGTAGCCCCCGAGCCTCTTGCTATTTGGAATAAGTAGCTGGAGGGTCATGTCTTGGAGTTACTCTGATCCTTCGCCGAAGAGTAGCCGAGTATACCCGGGTTCTTTATAATAAAGAACTCGGATATATCGTGAGGTCTTGGAGTAGTGTGTCTTGAATAAGTCTTCTTGGTGATGTGCGCTTTTTTGAAGAAAAAAGTACACTCACTGAGTATAGCCCCCGAGCCTCTTGCTATTTGGAACAAAAAGTTAGAGGGTCTTGAAACCTATGTCGTTTTACAACTCTTGCCTTGGAGAAGTCTTTTGAGTGATGTGCGCTTTTTTGAAGAAAAAGTGCACTCACTGAGTGTAGCCCCCGAGCCTCTTGCTATTTGGAACAAAGAGTTGGAGGGTCTTGAATTTGAGTTGTTCAAAGAACTGTAAACTTCCCCTGTTGCAGCCCCCGAGCATTCTTCAAAAAGAACTCGGATACAGAATCTTGGCATATTCTCTGGTAGTCTGCTGTTGTCAGATGTAGAGTCTGCTGCTTTCAGATGTAAAGTCTGCTGTTGTCAGGTGTAGTTGTATGGTGGTGGTTGAGTGCAAATGCCTTTTGTTCACGGGTTATACAGTGTTGGTATATTCTCCCGAATATGCTTGTTGTTGAGTACTGTTCCTTCACGCCTGAGTTCCCTTTCATTGAATTTCATCTTTTCACTTTGTGTCCTTTGTTAGTTTTGCTCTGTTGATGCTCCCGGTCCATGTGCACCGTTTCTTTGGTCTATAAATACCCTCCTGGTGTGCTGTTTTGATTCATCGAGCATTTTGTTGCGTGGTCTTGAAATCTCTGTAGGCATGAATATGATAGTTTGTGAAGTAGAGCAGCCCCCGGGCGTATTCTGTAGTTCTTGTACATCTTGTCATAGCTGGAGGAAGTCTTGTGATAGGGATTAGAGGTAGACTAATCCCGCAGCGGTATTGTACTTGGAAGTACGTGACGGTAGTTGGAAGAAGTCTTGTGATGTGGGATGCGTTCCTTCATCCAGCAGTTCTGGGTTAATCTTTGCCGCCTGTCTTGAGACTGTCCTATGCAGATCAACACCATATCCGGTATCACATCAAACTTGGGTAGACAGATGCCTGCCGGCTTCCCCTGGTCTATGTTGTCCCGTCGTGCTGCTCATTTCCACCTTGGATGCACTGTGTCCGTCCTTTGAAGAAAACAGTGTCGCCGAGTGCGGTTTGTTCTACCGAGTAGCAATTTGGAACACGTAGTCGTTCCAGAGCCTAGCTGTGTCCAGGTTCCTCTTTGCTACCTTGCTTGTCGTAGTACCGAGTTCGTTGGGTCTTATAAGATGTGTAATCTTGTATCTTTTGAAGTCATTTCTAATGGAAAGAATCTTGTCTTCTGAGTTGTCATTCTTTATTCTGCTGATGTCCCTTTATGAAATTCCCGAGTTCTTTCTGCATTGTTCGGGTTGTTATGTCCCTTGTGAGGTAACCTTTTGTTGCTTCATGGCTGATGAGTTCTTTTTTAGCAATGTGACAACTTTGCCGTTTTGCTGGATGGGTAAGTCCGAAATCTGCCCGTTGAACTGTACCGTTGTGTGGATTTGTGCCTTCCGTCATTTTAGCTGTGTCAGTAAATGGACCGTTGCATTCTCACACCGTGTTTTAACGGGCCTGGTCGGCTGTGCTTTACTGCTGTAAAATCTATTTAAAGGCCTTTCGTCTTCTTCTTCTTTACTGCTCCGCTTTTGCCTTGAAACCCTAGTTTTCAGAAATCCGCCGCCGCCATTGTCGCCGTCATCTGAGCGCCGCTGTCTTAGCCTCGTCTTTTCTTAGTGCCTTTTTGCTTCCGCTAGTACATGGGTAGGAAGAAAGCCGCGAGCAAGTCCTAGGCAGCCTTCATAGACGAGGAGTCATCACTTTCTGTGATCGAGAACCAAGAGTTCGTGGCCATGAGGGCTGCCCAGAAGGCTTGGCCGGCCCTGACAACGACTGAAGACCAGCTTCGTGAGCTTGTTAGCGATGGTCTGATCCAGAGTAAGGACATTGCTGAATTGAGAGCTCCAGGCGAGCATCGTGTCCTTGCTCCAGGTCCTAGTGAGATTATTCTTTTCGTCTCCTTTATCCATGCTGGACTTTGCCTTCCTGCTTCCGCCTTCCTTCGTCAATTTCTTGGTTATTTTGGGGTTAGTTTGAACCATCTTACTCCCAATGCCGTCCTTCATCTTTCTGTTTTTGTTCATCTTTGTGAAACTTTTCTTGGAATTCCTCCTTCTCTTTCTCTCTTTCGTCACTTCTTTCGTCTGAAGCCTCAACCCCGCCGCGAAGACACCAATGTTCTTGGCGGCTGTGAGATTCAGTTTTGCTAGGGTTTCAAAAGCAAATTCTTTGACTATGACCTGGTTGATTCTGTGAGGGATTGGCGTACCGACTGGTTTTACACCACCAATTTGATTCCCCCTCTCGCTGTTCATTCTGGGAAAAGATCCCTCGGTTAATGACCGTTGGGAAAAGATCCCTCTGACGTCGGACGAGCTCCAAGTGATCCAGCCGTTTCTTGAGAGGATAAGTACTCTAAAACAGCAGGGCTTGACCGGCTTCGGTATCGTCTCGAGTTTTCTTCGTCGTCATGTTCAGCCTCTGAAGGAGCAAGAGAACTTCGGTTTCGAGTACTCTAGGGCTGAGGATCCTTCTCGCATGGTCCCTGCCCTTGAGTTGACTGATGAGGAGGTACTCAAGCATCTTCAGAAGATGCTGAAAGGAGCAAGCGTTGTCCCGCTTACTGTCTCCAAGTACCGTGCAAACAACCCGCCTCCGGCTGTAAGTTGTTTTTTCTTTGTGCGGGTACTTTTTGTATTTCTTTTGCTGTATCCATTTTTTGCTTAATCTTCCTTGTCTTGTTGTTTTATTCTTTTCGTAGGAATTGGGGTGTAATTTCATTGATCCGATCCCCCTTGATGCCTGCCCTGCCATTGTGGGGACTGGGGATAGTCTTGCTGGGACTTCTTTAACCAGTAAGTTTCAAACCACCACAATGTTTCCTGGTGTTTCTTCCACGGTTTCTGATGTATATGTGGAGTATGTCCCTCGTCCAGTTCCTCGGGGCCTTCGTAGTGTCAAAAAGAGGGGGCGAGCTGAAAGTTCTTCTGGTTTGTCTTCTTCCAAGAAGTCCCGCCAGTCGAGTACTCATCCAGGTACTCCAGTTGTAGCTAGCATGCTCTTAGGTGAGCATATTAATACGC